ACGCCAAGATTCAAATAATTCTGAAGGTGGTATGGTGGTTATGGCTGCAGTTGGAGATAACTATATCGAATCCAAGATCAGGTTCCTCTACTCAGGCTGCTCGAATCACATAACTGGTCAAAAGGAGTGGTTGGCAGATTTCGATGAGTTGAAGACGAGCAAGGTAAAAATGACTGATAATAGTTCATTACAAGAATAAAGTACTGAAATCATGGTATTTCAAATGAGTAATGGAGCGAAAGTTATGATTAAAGATGTGTTCTATGTACCTGGAATAAAGTGCAACCTGCTAAGTGTTGGACAATTGGTCGAAAAAGGTTTTTCAGTTGTTATGAAAGATGGAGAGTTGAAATTGTTCTAGACCAAGAATAATTTGGTCTTAAAATCTTCGTTGTCGAAGAACGTGACATTTAAGACTATGATCAGTTCGACAGAAGTTCAATGTTTGAAAACTATTGTCGACCACAAGGATAGTTGGTTGTAGCATTTGAGGTTTGGACATTTGAATTTTCGATCACTTAATCAACTGATTACTCAAGATATAGTCATTGGTATTCTAAGTCTTAAGATGCCTGAAAAACTTTGTGAAGGTTGTTTAGTTGGAAAGTAATCCAGAAACTCTTTTGTTTCGACTATGCCAATGAGATCATCCTGCATTCTCGAAGTGGTACATTCAGATGTATGTGGATCATTCGAAGAACATACCATTGGTGTAAACATATATTTTGTTTCGTTTATCGATGAGTTCAGTAGAAAGTTGTGGATCTTTGTGATCTAGAGAAAGGATGGAGTATTCAAAATATTTAAGGGATTCAAGATTCTTGTCGAAAACCAGAGTGAGAAAAGGATCAAAGTTGAGCGAACTGATGGAGGTGGTGAATACACTTCAAATATGTTTGAAAAATTATGTGTAGAACATGGTGTTGATCATGAGGTAACTGCTCCTTATACTCCTCAACAAAATGGAATTGTTAAAAGAAGAAACAAAGTCATATTGGATATGGCAAGATGCATACTGAAGCAAAAGAATTTGCCAAAATCCTTATAGGGTGAAGCTGTTTCAACTGCAGTTTATATTTTGAACATGTGCCCTACCAAGATATTGAAGAACATGGTTCTTAAAGAAGTACGGAGTGGCAAACGACCATCAATGAGTCATTTGAAAGTGTTTGGCTCTATGTGTTACAAGCATGTTCCTGATGCAAGAAGAAGGGAGCTTGATGAGAAGAGTGAACCTATGATTTTGGTAGGATATTATAAGACCGGTGCATACAGGTTATTCAATCTAGTTAATGAAAAGATTGTGTCGAGTTGAGACATTGTGATTGATGAAAATTCTTCCTGGGGTTGGAATTCTGATGATGCAATTAACAAGCCAGTGATGAGCTCTGATTTCAACGAAGATGATGAAGTTGAGGTCGAAGGAATTATTGAGAATCAAGTCGAAGTCAAAGTAGAAGAAATTGCTGACATTCCCAACACGGCCGAAGTCAGAGTGGATGTGGATAGCACAAGCCATAGACCTTAACAAAATAGAGTTCCTCCAACAAGACTTCATGATTATGAAGTAATAGGTGATGATGAAGTCACACCAGATGGAGAATTAGTTCATTTTTCTTTACTTGTAGTGATAAAGCAATTAACTATAGGAAAGTTTTGAAAACTAAACAATGGAAGTTATCTATGGTCGAAGAGTTATAGGCAATCGAAAGAAACAACACATGGAAGTTAGTCAAATTGCCAACACAGACAAAAGCTATCGAAGTAAAGTGGGTGTTCAAGTTGAAACACAATATTGATGGGTCGATAGCAAGACATAAAGCAAGATTAGTAGCTAGAGGTTTTATTCAAAGAGCAGGACTCAACTACTTTGAAGTATTTTCTCCAGTAGCAAGATTGGAGACTGTTTGATAGTGGTAGCATTGGCATGCAACCAAGGTTGGTCGACATTTTATTTAGATGTGAAATCCTCATTTCTAAATGGTCCTTTAGACGAAGAGGTCTATGTCATACAACCTCCAGGGTTTGTGATTCAGAAGGAAGCGATTAAAGTATATAAGTTGCACAAATCTCTTTATGGTCTCAAGCAGACCCCTAGGGCATGGAATAAGAAGACCGACTCAAACTTAGTCAAATTAGGATTTGTCAAATGCAAGTCAGAGTATGGTGTTTATGTTTAGATTGTAGCATAAGATATAACAATCATCTTCTTGTATGTCAATGACTTGCTGGTAACTGGAAATAGCTTAGAGAACTTGTCGAAGTTCAAAGAGCTGATGATGAAGGAATTTTAAATGTCGGATCTAGGAAAATTGTCTTATTTCCTAGGCATGGAAGTTCAAATGTCGAAGCAAGGTATGTTGCTACATCAAAGGAAGTATATCAAAGAAATACTCAAGAGATTCAGAATGGATGATTTGAATCCTGCATCCTCACCTGTCGAACCAAATGTGAAATTGGAGAAAATGGAGAGGAAGAAAAAGTCGATGTAACTCTGTTCAAGCAAATCGTGGGATCTCTGATGTATGTGCAACAGTCGACTTGATATAGGTTTCACAGTCGGATTAGTGAGCAGATATATGAGTGAACCAATGGTGTCACACATGAAGGTTGCAAGAAGAATCTTGAGATACTTAAAATGATCAATAAACTATGGAATACTATTTCGACGAGACTCTGAAAGAAAATAAGCAACAATTAATTTTTTTCAGATGTTGATTGGTGTGGAGATAAGGAAGATCGAAGAAGCATAACTGGATATTTCTTTCAAGTATTCGGTTCCCCAATTTCATGGTATTCGAAGAAGCAGCCCGTGATAGCATTGTCATCGTATGAAGCTGAATATATACCAGGATCATATGCTTCATGTCAAGCAATTTAGATCAGATATGTATTTGAAGAAATGAAGGTTGAAGTGAAGAAACCTCTTGTGTTGTAAATCGACAACAAGTCAGCCATAAATCTGACAAAGAATTTAGTTTTGTATGGAAGAAGTAAACATATCGAAGCAAAGTTTCACTTATTGAGGGAAAAGGTAAATCAAGGTGAACTTGAAGTAATGCATTGCTCGAGTGAAGCACAATTGACCGACATTTTCACCAAAGGATTGAAGATCGATAAATTCCTGAATTTGAGAAAGAAATTAGGAATAGTTCAGATTGACTATTTTTAGAGTATGTTCGATAACTTGGATTATGGGGGTGTGTTGAAATATTAAATTAGATTTGTTAAAATATTATATTTGATTTGTTAAATATAATCCAAGTTGTGTAGATCCAAACTCAATTAGGATTGTATATAAATAGTCATAGTCTATATCATTATTTGTACAATTCAATAATACAATTCTTATTTCCTTATTCTCTCTCTACTCTCCTAACTAAAAGTGTCTCATAACAATTTTCAAGTAGTATTATTCTTTGGTTGTAATTTGACAACGATCATAATTTTTTCTCTTGTTTTAGAATTTTCACGTTAATCTCTTATATAGTTATTGTGTTTCTTTTTTACTATGGTTTATTTTTTCCAACAAATTGAACTTATAAAATGAAATGACATTCCCTACTTCTAGTCCTTATCCCCACCAAATTTAAGTCTTCATGGAGACATGATGCATATATATTTTTTCAAAATTAAAATTAAAATTTTAAACACAAAAATATTCATAGCATTGAGATTACTCATTAGCAATTTTGTTGTGTTACCTAGTTAGTTAAAACTCTCTAATCGTAGAGGTTAATAAGATGAGTATAACTACATAGGACCGCTCGATCCTATACTTTTAAAAACTAATGTGATAATTATTTATTATTATACATAATACACATTATATACAAATAGAAATATAATAATAAACAAATAACAATATAAGTCATTTCTCTTTTTTATATGATAAAATCAATCATATTAAAAATTATATTTATTATTTTACGAGATATTACATTGTTATATTTGAGATTTTAGACTCTAAAAGATTTAATTTCTCTGATACTAAAACACTAAAAATATCAAAGACAAATAATATAAAAGTATGTTGGTTGTCAGAACACGTACGTATTATCATATTTAACCTATTTATTTGAAGCGGCTTTGAGTGCTGTTTGATCCACAATTAAACCTTCAATTCTCAATTTTATCATTTGAAAAACTCAAGTCAAATCTACACAAACATCGTTCTCTCACACTCACTGGTATACTAGAACATATGTTGACTAAGTGTTGATCTCCTCTCTTGTGATCAATCAAAAAACTTATAAACGTCTCTATTTTTATAAATACTTTAACTCGTCAAAATATATCAAATAAGATATCTCGAATTAAACCATGTTAGTATTAAAGACTGAAAATTCTCTACTATAATGTGAGTTTCTTAAAAGTATGAAAATATATTTTAGATATATATTTGAAATTATAATCTTTTAATTGAGGTAAAAGAGATCTTAATCTATGTAACGGTTCTAGTGTAAAACTCTAACTCAATAAAAAAACTTAGAACGTGTTTGAGAGTTAATTTTTGAAAGGTTGAGTTTACAATATATATTTGATTTTTAAAAACATGATATAATGTATAATATGATATGTATAATATTGTTGTTTGAAAATGGACCTAACTAGAATTAGAACTTTGACATACTCAAATTTACTTTCAATTTTTACATGTACAAACACACGTGCCATACTCCATTACCTAAAAAGGGTTTAATATGAAGAGGATTAGGGTCCAAGTTAGACCTAAGAAAAATGAAATCACATTCCCTCTCACTATTCCTTTGTCCCTATCCCCACCGAATTTAAGTCCTTATATATTTTCTCACAAAGCCAAATGCACTTACCATTTGGCCTTTTGTGCTTTAATTCTTTTGGCCTTTTGTGTCTTATTTTTCAACTCCTTGTCCCATAAAATAAAGTTAACACAACAAGAATATAAAGAAAGTAAGCACCATAATATTCCTCACTTGAACATCCAACACAATATCCTCCTTCTTTCAATCTCTTAAACTATGGAATATGAATGTAGCCATCTTAATTGGGAATTCTATAACCATGATGAGGTTCACATCTTTCTTTCTTCTCTTAAAAATTTCTTATGGTTTTTCATTCACTAATTTAACTTAGTTTTGTTATTTTTATTCTTGAGTTTTTTGCAGGCATTATTAGAGGACTTAAAGCATTCACTTCTATACACAACTTTAGAGCTAGAAGCAACTATTGTGTCAGCCAAAGAAGAGATTACCAAAAAAGAATATGAACTAATTCATGCCAATAATCTTTTAACCAGAGTCATCAAAGAAAGAGATGAAGCCAGAGAAAAATGCAATAACCTAATGCTTGAAAAACAAGAGTTCCAATCTCAAATTGAGAACAAATCACAAAGTGAAAATGAACATTCAGCACCAAATGCTTCTTCTTCGGATTGCGAAGAAAACAGTTCAACAACACTACCGACACAGTTTCAAGCAGTGCTGGAATTAGCAGAAAAGAAACCGTTGCCGAAGAAAGGGAAGCTTTTGAAGGCAGTGGTTGAAGCTGGACCATTGTTGCAGACACTTCTTCTGGCTGGACCATTACCACAGTGGCAACATCCACCTCCACAGCTGAATTCAATTGAGATTCCACCGGTTTCGATTTCGTCTCCGAAGAATCTCTCTTTGAGCAAGAAAAGGGAATTTGTGTTCTCTTCAGGTTCTGATTCTTCTGTTTCAAAATGTACAAAAGTTGTTGACAACATACCAACAATATCTACATTTGTCTCAAATCATTTCCTACCAAATTCGCCATTTTCATAGGAAGAATGCTAGCTACACTTACTTTATCACTCTCTCTTCAATAATTTTTATTTTATCGACTTAAATTCAACGTTGAGATTTAGACCAACGTAAAATTTACTCCATAAAAATAGCATTGGAAATAGAGTGTTAAAAGTGAATGTAAATAGTAATTTTTTTTTTAAAATGTTTTTTATGTTGCATAAGAGAGAATCTATTGTTGGCCTTTAATGTTTCCTTAATTAAGATCTTGTGTTATTATGTACATATTTTGGTTAAATGAGGTTGAATTATTAGGAGAAAAATTGTTAGGAATTGAAAAATGTCATTTTAAGTTGACACAATTTTGTACTGTGGTAGAAAGAGGGTGGGTAGCTAGGCTTTAAATGGCATGTTTTTTATTGAAAGCTATTGTTGTGTTTTTATTATTTTTCAAAAGTTGTTGCTTTCACATGAAGTATACTTTATTTGAGGGTAATATGTCTGCCATTGAAGAGTAGATCTAACTAGACTCCCCATGATAAAAGACAGAAAAACATATATTGGATTCTCTAAATTCAATTAGATGATCACCATCTTGATTCAAATTAGATGATTTAAAAAATATAAATTTTAATTATGATTATAATTTAAAAATCACAACTTAAATTAAAATTAAAATAGTTTGATTTTGATCCAACAATCGAACAATTATTAATTACTTAAAAACATAAATATTTATATTGTGATTATATGAAATATGCATCCTTGATTAACATACTTTCTTTAAATAAAAATAAAAATATTATTTATCCGTAAATTCTAACTTAATTGATTAAAAATAATATTTTTAGATTATATGCAAACATAAAATTCAAATTTTATATTTCCTATATATATATATATATATAAAAAAAAGAAGAAATATTACTACTTATTGGATGAAAAATTTCTATAAAAAAATGTTATATAAATATATTCTTACAAAAAATATTGCTCAGTGTATTTTTAAATTGAATGATTTTATCCCAAAAAAAACTATTTTAAAACTAATTTTCTTATTATCTATTTCTTTTGATAATCTATATTTTTTAAAGTAATGTTTTTTTTAAGTAAACTACTAAAATGCAAATCATTTAAAATATGGATTACATAATACCTAATGAAACTTTAGAGTGAAAAGATTTTTTTTTAAAGAAAAAGAATAATGTGAACTCTTTTAAAATGAGTAGAAAACACAGTAGAAAATTATGACATTCAAATTTATGATGAACGTGCATATCATAACTTTTCTAATAATTATATTAATAAGCTATCCATATCTTAGTGAATATATATTCTAAGAAAAATAAAGAAAAATTGACAGAATCCTCAATGCCCTTGTCGAAAGTTGACATGAAAACGAGTATAGTCACTATCAAATCGACTACATTTCACATGGAGAGGCCACTAATTGCAATTAGTCAATGAAAATCCCACGAAATAATAAGAGGTTTTGTAGAATAATCATCGATTGCACATGCAGATTCAAATGGCCCTATTACATTTTCTTAATATATGTAGGCCCTTTACTTTTGTAACCAACTAGCATAATTATGTACAAGTCGAAGTCATCAAATTATATATATATATATATATATATATATATATATATATATATATATATATATATATATATATATATATATATATATATATATATATATATATATATATATATATATATATATATATATATATATATATATATATATATATATATATATATATATATATATATATATATATATATATATATATATATATATATATATAATTGATGAATTGATGATCTTGAATCGGTGGTTGATCTTGTTGAAAAAGAATTACAAGTATGAGTATTGTGGGAAAGTCTCACATTACTCAGAAATATGGAGACTTGAGTATTTATAAGTGGGAGAATTCACACACTTATCACTTTAATATTTTTGGTGAGTATGTGGTATGTTCCTCACAAGTGTGTATGGCTCAAAAGGAAAGTCCTCGAGTAAAAGATGTTTCCTCGTTGAACCCCTGATTGTTGCACCAACAAATGGTATAATGAGCATTTTATTCGAGTGAAGGGATCAACTTACTTGTATCAAAATACCCGTATGAGGTACAAGTGTATATGGATAAAAGCGCTTTCACTTGAGGGGGAGCATTATGGACAGACTCGCACTTGAGAGGAGCAGGGGAGCGTTCACTACTACAAATAAGGGAAAAGACAGCGCTTTTTTTGGCCTTTAACAGCGCTGCCTAAAGCAGTGCTGCTAAAAGAAAAGACATCGCTTTTTTTTCAATGTAAGAGCGCTGCCTTATGTCCACTTTAGACAGCGCTTTTTTATATACCCCTTTAGCAGCGCTTGGGCTTTAGACAGCGCTTTGTAATTTTTTCCAGATAGGCTTTAGACAACGCTTTCCTTTGAAAGCGCTGTCTATTCCCCCACTTTAGACAGCGCTTTCAGACTTTTGGCAGCACTTTTTTTTAAGTTTTTACAGCGCTTATCTCCTAAAGCGCTGTCTATTGTTGACAATTTTTTTAAATAAATTATCTATTTTAATAAGAATTTTTATCATATTTGATAGCTTCATTCCAATATTTGGTAGCTTCATTCCAATATTTTGATCCAGGTTTTCATAATTATCTTTTATGCACTATATTTGATAGCTTCATTCCAATAAAATATACATATATAAAAATTGCACATATATATAAATTGATGATATAGACAACAACTATTACAAAATTTATGATACAAGTTAAAATTCTACAAGTTAAAATGTCTAAAATATTCAAAATTGAATTTACATCTATACATCTTTCTATCTTCGAGAATTCTCATGAAACAACAACAACATGAATATCTTAGCTATATCTTCTACACATGTACCTATAAACATGGAAAAAAAACCAAATGATCGAAATTCATAACATGATAATATTAACGTTGTACTTTATTCGAATTTAATTTATACTCAAAACTCGAAAGTTCTCATCAAAGGAAATAAGATAATATACCTTAGCTTATAAAATTCTCAACCCGATAATGAATTGACATCATTCCTCCATAAGTTCATCCAATTGATCTTTTGAGTAATGTGCTCAATTGAATTCCTCAAAGTACTACATATATAATAATATAACATAGTATCTGATTTAGTTAAAACAATATGTCATTTTATGAGAAACACGAAATATGAAAATAATATGTAATTCCTAAGTTAGAAATCCATACCGTGGATGGAATCTCTAATCGATCCAAAAGAATAGTTTCTTTCATAAACCTCAACATAAAATAGCCACAATCTATACCGTTACACTGACGAGGACACTACACATGGAAATAAAATACGAATATATATCAGGATATACCCCTTAAATTATTTTATCAAGTATCATCACTAAAGTAAGCAAAGTTGAATATCTCTTTGTGAAAATATACCTCCACTCAGATCCATGTAACGTTGTTGGCTCTACTTTTTGGTACTTGAATATCTCGTTGGGAGCAAAAAGCAAGTAGGACGCTATAATAAAATATAAACGACTATTTAGAACAATCTCACATAGAATTATAAACATAAACACAAATCCATATATGTTGACCATAAACATAAACATAAACATAAACATAAACGTAAACATAAACATAAACATAAACTTGAATATCTCTTTGGGAGCGAAACACTTACGTGTCAATCATCTATTTCAAATCTGGATATGTTGACCAATCATTGTATAACGAGTCCAGATAATACACAGTTTCTCTCATAGGATTAATCGCAACCAATAACCAGTGTCCACTGTAAGATTAAACAAAGATTAAACAATGGCCAAAAACGGAAAATTATAATAGATCAAGTTAGGATGAAAATCTAACCCGTTTCCAGTATTATATGGAAAAAAGAACAACTTCTCAGTATCTTTACTGGTCACGAATAAACCTAGTACATATGATATGACATCATTTGGTCTCGTTACAATCAACCCAGAATTGACAGTGTTGGGAGCTAAGAAGCCAAATCTTGCTTCTAATCCACGTGAGCGCACAATATTCCCATACATAAACCTTAAATTAAAACACGATTAACATTATACTATATTCATTGAAATGAGGGATTAAATTGTTTATTTAATTAAACAAAGTTGATCGGAGTATACCTGATGTATATACCGATAACACCGAGGCCTAATTCCAAATGCCTAAAAACTTGCTCCATATCCTCTCTACCAATTGCTTCAAGATATTAAAAACCAAAGATGTCTGCACTCATAGGTATAAGGCGGGTACCACCATCCGGAATATCTGTAATTCCTAAATATGTCCGAAGGCACGACCTGAACTGAGCAGTAGTTTTTTGTGTGCCACAGTCTTCTTAGCAACATTCTTTTTTTGTGTGGAAATGTTGCTAATTTCAGGCGCCTTACCCCTACTGAGTTGTGCAGTCTCTTTAGCGTGAATCTAGTTATCATATAATTAGTTAGAGGAAGTATAAAATCACAAATTAGCATTTCTCATAGCATAAATGTCATATAATTGTGTTACCTCAAATGATGCAATTGACTCGGTATCCCGCCTAATCCCCTTATCTTTTGGAATGTATTTTGTGGGAGTCTAACATTACCATGTAAACAAAATGTAAGTATAAATGACATAAAAAATTTGAATAGTAAACAATTTTAAGCATACCTCATTATCTACGTAAACGAGGCTTGACAGCCATGAAACAAACGATCCGATTGCATCTGCCACCAATGTTGCATCTGCCACATCGTCAGGTAGTGGTAACAACGCACCCCCTCTAAAACGACATCGACCGATACTTTCAAAAATCCCTCTGGGAGCGGTCTATGGTGAATAATTACCTCGGGAATATTTTGTCCAAAGTTACCATTGATACTAGCTTTGTCACTAGTATCTTTAAAGCCTGTAGCTTGATCGATTTCCTTTTCCTTTCTCAGCTCATAGACTTCTTGTTGTAACTTTTCCAACTTCTCTTGCAGTTCTTTATTGCTTGGAGAT